TGCAACTCTGTAAGCAAATCTTTCTGGTAATGAACGTAGTGCCTTTCTTACCAACTTTGTTTCCGAGTATTGTTCACCTAGTGCATACGATTCATTTGAAATGTCACACAGTTTAGCGTGAAAATCATCAATCGTCTCGTCCTCCTCCATATGAAGACACTCAAATCTTGTGGCTAGCATATGCAACTTAGATGTTTTAACAGTTGATGTGCCTTCATACGTCACTTGTAGGATCTCCCATGCCCTTTTTGCTGATTCACACGATGCTATTAGTTTGAACTGATTGTCACCAACGCCACTGAAAATTGAGTTTATCGCCCTCGAGTTGTAATTGGCAAGTAATATCTCTTCATTAGTCCATGCTTCTTCTGGTTTTACCGTTTGCATACCATCCGTTCCTTTAGCCATGGGCGGGGTCCAACCAGTCACAATAGCACGCCAAGCTCGTTCATCAACTGACTTGATGAACATCTTCATCTTCGATTTCCAGTAAGAGTAATTTGATCCATCCAAGAGAGATGGTCGTACTGTAGACGCTCCTTCACGATCAAACATATCTGCATAAAACAAATTAAAAAATAAAATCCCAAAATGTCACTAAGTGTATCTAGTGACAGGCTCTTGATGCCAATTGTTAGAATTTATTTCGTGCAGATATAAATTATTTGTGTCAGATTCAGTTTTTCGTTACTGTTGCGTGAAGTGTTGCAACAGTTCGTGAAGCAGTTTGTAAAAACAGAAATAAACGAGACACAAATTTTAATGTGGTTCGGATACAATTGCACCCTACATCCACGGGGACCTGCAAATAAAATTTACTAATTTTTAGTTTTACGAATACAATAATAGGACTTAATTAAAATACAAAGACTCCCTCTTTGTTGACGCCGTTCTCGTATACTACGCTGAATTATAAATCTTCAATTTGCAGCACGTCCCTTGCTCCGCACGGTTGAACTCTCTTCAACGCTGAATCCCTCAGTCGGCGGATCGATCTCCTCCCGAGATCTGTTTAAGCCCCTATCCGAAGAACCGATCTTCTTTTTATAAAGAAGAAGCAAACTTGTGATACTCCGTGAATCTTGGTGTCTTCACCACAAAGCCTTGAAGCCGGTATATTCTCTATGAAAATCACGTATCACGATGGAACAATAAAAAAAACGAGAGGAAAAATATTTTCTGTGAAAAACTTCTCTCGATCAAAGACGTTCCGGGAGCAGCAAAAATAAGAGCAGAAAAATATAATTTTTCTTCTCCAACAAAAGGGACAGCCTACAAAAACGTTGATGCTCCTCTTTTTATACTTCCTTTAGTTGAATAGTAGAGCCCTACAAAATATAAGAGCCCATTAAGGTTAGTTGTAATCTCACGTAAGGAAAAGAAGTTGTGTAACAAAGGAAAGTCTTTCTCAAGAAAATTCCTTGTTAACAAAACACCTAGGCAATTAAATAAATTTATGACAAAATAAGAGTTTAAAGAACTAAGGAAACTTCCCTAGCTTTATACACGTTTTTCACACACGTGCTGAAAATCCACAATTAGAATCCTCTCGGATTCTAACAGTCGGAAATACTCAGTCTACGTTGTTGCATATTAGTGTGACTAACGTCCACAAATAAGTTTCTATGTAAGCTATTGATAATACACAATCTAAATTCTTGCTTATTTATGCAACTAACCTCCGCAGTGAAAATGTTTATCTATTTTATGTAGTGATAATACTCAAACTATTCATGTATTGTAAAGTTCGAAATCTAAGTTGTATATATAACTGTTGTTATGTGCAATAGCAAAATCTTGTGTTCCTTGCTATATAACCTGATAGACGGCCATACACTTTAAATGGTACCAAAATCTAATTATAAAACTTTTAGCAAAATAAAAAATATTTACTGTTCTTTAATTAATACCAAATTTTTTTTATTTGTTTTTTGGGGGGTTTTTTAGCAAATTTTCCTAAATTATAACACTGGAAAAATGGCTGTGGAATTGGATCTTCAACCAATAAAGTCATGACACGCAGATCAGATATAATTGTCCAACATCTCAAACTGGATAAAAGAATTAATTGTGGACCAAAGGACAGAGTTGTAATTTCCAATTCACCAAAAAATAAGATTAAACAAAATAGCACAGCCACGTCACCAATCCCCGCAACACTAGAGAAACAAATTCATCCACCGTTGGATGAGAACCCATAGGAGAACACCCAACCGTAGATGTAATCCCTGTGAACCTCAATCCTCTCTTCTTCATTTTTTTCTTTTTTCATTTTTTTTTTAATTATTTATTATTTCCGATTAGTGATCCAGCTACGATCCGTTTAACCCTTTTATAACCCTTCACTCTTCCATTTTTTTCTACATTCAATTTCTTCAGCTCCTACTGTGGCTGTATCCAATTATTTTCCCTCCCTTTTCGAAATTAATTTGTTCTGAAAAATTTGCTGATCCGTTGTGATTATTTGCGGCGATGGCGAGTGAAGAATTTCAGGCTCAGCCTCCGGTGCCGGCTGCGCCGCCCACTTTGCCTCCGTATCCAGAGGTAAATTAATCCTTTTTCTTCCCCCAAATTTCACTCAATTTTGTTTTTGTTGGAAATTAATTTTTTTTTTTAATTGTAGAAGATTTTAAATTTTCATTTTTAGGTTTTTTTCAGAAATTAAATGAAAGAAATTCCGACGTAGATCGCTTGAATTTATGTTAAATTGATGAAAAAAAATGAATTTTTGTGCAGATGATTATGGCTGCAATTGAAGCGTTGAGCGAGGAAAGCGGATCTAACAAATCGTCAATTTCGAAGCAAATCGAAGCTACCTACGGAAACCTACCTCCGGCACACACCACACTCATCACCCACCACCTCAACCGGATGAAATCTTCCGGCCAGCTCCTCTTCGTCAAGAACAACTACCTCAAACCCGGCCCCAATTCCCCTCCTCGCCGCGGCCGAGGTCGCCCACCAAAGCCCAAATCCTCTCCGCCGCCACGCGCCGCCCTTGCGCCTCCGCGCCCCCGCGGCCGGCCCCCCAAATCCCGTGACCCAACCGCACCTCCACCGCCGCCTAAACCCAAGGCCGCCACAACAAGTACCGCTCCGACTCTTTCTGGGAAAAAACGCGGCCGGCCTCCAAAGTCTGCCGTTGCAAGTGCGGCGCCGCCGCCGCCTCCGCCTGCCGCCGCTGGAGGTGTAGCTCGCGGGCGTGGAAGGCCGCCTAAAGAGAAACCAGCTGCGACTGCTCCCGTAGGGGCTTAATTGAAAGAAATGAAATAGTTTAGGGGGTTTAGTGGTAATATGTTGTTTATGGTTATTTATTTATGGGTCCTTGTAGTTTGAGTTAATTTTAATTTAGGACGGTGATTGTGATTGGTCAAGTTGATGGTTGTTGTAACTTTGGATGTATATTTAATTGAATTGAGAGGCTGAAATGATATGGGATTCTCCTGCCTTAATTAGGAAATTAAAAAAGAAATTGCTTTTAATGCTTTATTTCATTTTTATTTTAATTAGCCACTTTTCCTTTATTCTCATGGGTAAAAAAAAGATATTATTTTGGTATCTTTATAATGTGGTTGGATTTGAATTACTTTTGCTTTTAGTTTTGTTGCATTTAAAAAGAGAAATGCATTGGGCTATGTTAAATATTTTATGGTTTGCTTTGCCAAAAGAGATGCTGTAGCTGGCAAGTAAATGTGGTTAGCCGGACAATAAAAAAGTTGTAAAAATTCCCTTGTTTAAAAAAAGAAACAAATTGGAAAAAGAAAAAGCAACTGTGGAGTGTGGCTGTATTTGAAGTTTGAATAAGCCCTTGGCGGGGATATCTCGGTTTCGAAAAAGAGAAATTTGCCGGAAGCCCCTAAAATATATTCTCTATAGCATGATAAACAGTGTTCTAAAATTTGGCCGAGGTGGCCGATTAATCGGTCGCCGAGGCGGAGGCGGTCAAAAACCTTTACGATTTTAGTGTAGAAGTTTGAAAAATCGGTTTTTTGCCCGTGAGGCGGTTTGAGGCTGTCCGAGGCGGTCAAACCTATATGGCGGGTCAAACTTCGGTGGCAAAATCGGTCAAAAATCTGGTTTTTTTTTTTTTTTTTTTTTTTATTTTTATTTTTATATTTCAAAATAAAAGTTGGGATTTTAATAAATAAAATATGATTTTATGTTTTATTTTGTTTATGTTAAATGTTATTGTTGAAAAACTAATAATGTATGCTAGGAATGTTCAAGAATAAATGTAAATTCAAAAAATTGCCTTCTTATTTATAATTTATAAGGATATTTATGTATTATTATCTTATTATTATAAAATTTTTATTATTTTATCGGGATATATACATGATAGAGATATAACTATGTTTAAATATCTTTTTATATATGTTTTGAATATTTATAAATAATATCTAGAAATATATTATATTAAATTTAAAAAACCGATTTATTTCCGATTTATCACCGATTAATAACCGCCACACGATTAATCGTGTGTTGGTCCCTGACCGCCTCCGACCCGATTACCGATTTTTACAACCTTAATGATAAGTAATAATAAATGAATTTTGCATTTTTGCTAAAAGTTCTTGTCTGACACTAGGTTTAGAGTATCTCTAACTGAATTGTTTAAAAAACTAACAGTAACAGGAAATCGGTGATTTCCACACTTAATCAGATTAATAAGTAACAGTTTAATTATATTAGAAGTTAATAGAATTTTGCCACATGTATTTTGCCCGTTTTTGCACTTTACCTCCTTAACAAAAAAACAATTTGCACGTGCACACTCTAACTCGTTATTTTGACTCACTTAACCAGCTAAGGCGAATATTCTGGCGAATCATCACAATTTTCGGCACACACTCGATGCACATGCGAAGTTAGATGGTCATTTTCGTCTTTTCATTTGAAGATTTCATATGGGATGAAATTAAAAATTCTAAGGACTCAATTAAACTTAATTTAAAATTTCTCTAAATTAAGAATTAATTAAAATAAAAGTCTGGTTCTTCTTCCATAGAAGCGGATCTTCTTCTTCCATTACAATTTCTCTCCATTAACGACCTACCATCCTTCAAGTCCCGTATTGTGAATATCAACACAATCTTTCCCATCTCAGGCTGCATGAGCTCCACATATAAGCCAGTAGTTACACTGCCAACAAAAATTAGAAAATAGCTATAACCAATTGCAATGTGTAGCATAAACGAGCATCTCTGTTCGGAGAAGGATCTGAATCTTCCCCACTTTCGTTCACTAAATGGCACGATATCAAATTGAATATGTTTCTCGCTCTTTGTGATACTTTGTCTAAACTGATTTCTTCGAACGAGTTTTCTGCAAATCCGTTGCTTGTGAAAAAAAGAAACTAGAGTTTCTTATGATGATTAATTTAAAAGATTGGTAAATTGCGTCGAACGGCGCATTGGAGAATTGGACTTCGCAAAGACGAAGGCTTTAGGATGGTGTGCGAGTGATTAATCTTCATTTATAGCATTCCTAATTGTAGGGTATCAAACTGCCAAGCTCCATATAAAACCTAGATTGTATAAGTTCCCCTTAAGCAGTATTAATTACTGCTAAGAGGAAGATATACTCAAGTAAAGCAGAAAGAAAGAAATAAAAGGTGAATAAAATTGAGAATTAGATATAATAAGAATATCAACTCAGTTTTCCAAAATTTTCACACCAGAAATTCACACTTTCCACAATACACCACCAAAGTACCACAAGAAGAACATATCTTCTTTCTCTCTCAACACAAACCCTAGTTTCACCCAAAACTCCACAAATGAAAGAACATATCAAGCACTCAAGCTTACCCGCTCACCAAAACCCCAATTTCAGAACTCATAAATAGAAAAACTGAGAGATTTAGGTCGAGTCTAGGGTAGAATCTGTATCTTATCCTCTTCCAACCTCCATGCCAATATATATAGAGATATAAGTCAAATAGAGCCGGTGAAGGCTGTACTGGAGAGACAAAGTCAGCCATGTACCATGCACTTTGACCTCTAGCCATGACAGAGTCAAGGCAGGTATAAGGGAGGAAGAAGACAGAAGCAGGAGCGGCGGAGAAGAAGGGGAAAAGCTAGGGTTTCAGAAATGAGGGTAAAGAAGAGAGAGAAGAGAGTATTTAAGTGAGGGAATAAACGGTCCAGATTCAGCCAGAAATCCAACGGATGGATTTAGCTCAAATATGGATTTGGGCTCACTTATTCACTCTTGGGCCTAGCTCATGGTGGTGTATGAAAATAGAGCAATTGGGATTTCTGGCCCAATGCATATTTGGGCCAAAAACCAACAATTCTCCACCTTGGACCAAATGTGTATCATTAGTGAAAATTTCTTTTAATTTTTGGAAGTCATCATTGCTGATTTTGGACACACAAGTAGAAACACACAGTTCATACAAGTATATCATGTAGTGTTCACTCAGAATACAACTCATATGCATTTAAAGTAAAATGCAGTAATGCAATCACATTGAAAGCATAATCTTATTCACACAGAATAGATTAAACTAGCAATCACACAGAAAGCACAAGTATAAAGTCACACATACCATAAACAAGCACACAACAAGTCAAGTTTTGGAAATAATGTTCAAGTTTTTCAAACAAGAACATAATTTTTCAGAAGGCAGACATTTTGTTCCCATGTCAGGTGGATTGAACTCAGATGGGATTTTCTCAAGATCAATAACCCCTTTTTCAACTATATCACGAATGAAATGGAACTTCACATCAATATGTTTAGTTCTATCATAAACAAACAGGGTTTTTGCACAATTGAATACCAGATTGACCATCAGAAAATACTACCACTCTGGAGTTAAGAACATCAATCTCCAATAACAGCCCCTTAAGCCAGATGGCCTCTTTTATAGCTTCAGTAGCAGCTATATATTCAGATTCAGTGGTAGAGAGAGCAACAATGTTTTGGAGTTGAGATTTCCAACTAACACAAGCACCATTTAAGGTAAACACATAAGAGGTAGAGGATTTTCTATTGTCCCTATCATTGGCAAAATTTGAGTCCACATAGCCACATAGTTCAATTTCAGCTTTGCCTTTAGAAATCATTAAACCAGTATTAAGAGTACATTTCAAATATCCAAGCATCCATTTTAATGCCTCCGAATGGGGCGAACGTGGATTAGACATATATCTACTCAAGCAACTCACAGAATATGCAATGTCAGCTCTGGTACTAACCATCAAATACATAACAGAACCAATGGCATTTGCATATGGCACCTTTTTCATTTCAGAGATTTCAAGTTCAGTCTTGGGAGACTGTTCCTTACTTAGCAAAAGATGTGAAGCAAGAGGAACAAATACAAGTTTAGCAGACAACATAGAAAATTTATCAAGAATTTTTTCAATATAGGAGGATTGATTCAAGATTAAAGTACAGCCAGGTCTATCTCTGATTATATCCATACTAAGAATTCTTTTTGCATCACCAAGAAGTTTCATATCAAACTCATCACTAAGGCATTTAATCACATGATTAACAATTTGAATGCAAGGACTAGCAAGAAGCATGTCATCCACATAAATAATCAAGAACAGAGGAATTTTTGCAGATTCTTTAAAATACAAGCAGGGATCATATGAGCTTCTTTAAAATTTTAAAGACATCATGCAAGCATCAAACTTCTTGTTCCATTGCCTAGGTGACTGTTTCAGTCCATACAAAGATTTCTTTAATAAACATACATAATCAGGATTTTTTTGTCAATAAAACCCTCAGGCTGGCACATATATACTTGCTCATCTAATTCACCATGCAGAAAAGAAATTTTCACATCCATTTGTTTTAATTCCCAGTCAAAGTGAGAAATTAAAGCAAGCATGATTATAACAGTAGTGAATTTCACAACAGGAGCTGTGACGCCCACTACCGAAATACACTGTAACTTTTTTTTTTTGCTTTACAATAAATAAATACAATGACTTCCGATAAATACAATGTCTCTCACTTAAATTCTCAACAATAAAATCAAATACATGTGACAACCAAATGCCACAACTAATCTAGTATTCATAGTTCTCGAATTACAATCATTCTTAAACACAACACTAGATTAAACTCTCTAAAATATCTGAATAACTTCTACTCCTAAGAGCCATCAACATAATCGTCCATTAATGCACCTGTTTTTGAGAATAAGAAGAAAAATGAAGGAGGAGTAAGTCCAAGTGGACTTAGTGAGGAGTACAAGGGAAAAACAGTCGAATCAAATCATAAGGACAATAAGAAAATAATTGACAAGTCGGACATGATATTGGAATTGGACAACCTAGAGAAGGATCATTTGGTAAGGTACAAAGCCAAAGTATGAGAGCACAACAATCCGATTAGAGTAAGCAATACAATCAATATGTACAGGTAGAGAACAATATTCAACGGGTAATTCCTGGATATCAATTATGAATTTCGTGGAGATTCCCACTGTAATAGTTCTGGATATCAAATATG